ACCCATACCTTCCATTAAAAAGACGTTGCCGATCATTAGACACGTGATCGGTCACTCGACACAGTGCAAGGCATCTTTTGGATTGTCGAATGTCTTTCACCACCGAGTCGTGTTGCACTCTACACTGAACCTGTAAACCAACTGACCAAATTGGGTGGTTGAGGAAGGTTAAAAGAGTATTGAAGCGAATAGCTGAGATCTAGCCACTCTCATTGTATTATGTTGGACTCCAGACAGAATTGTTATGCGTAATGTGAGCATGAAAGAGGTATTCGATGGCAGAGGGTCGTTGAGTCTGTATCGAGGTCTTCACTGTGATCAGGGGAAGCTGACCACTAGGGGAGGGGAGGTGGGGGAATGAAGACATCGGAAAGTGTTGTGCGTGGTAAGAAGGAAGAAGTCCAACTCTCAACCAGCTAGGTGTAATTAGGAGTGAGACAAGGCTTCTGCAATTTGGAACACCTTTCCAGTATGTTTTGAGTTCTGTACGATCATCTCTGCACCTGAGTTGAATTGTTTGGGTTGCGCGAAGACCCACACACAATTTAGTAGTTGCCACCGTCCTATTGTGATTTACCGATGCAACATATGCAACTTCATATCCATTTAACCTTTCGTTTTAGCTTAAAATAACGTGGACAACATTGGAGGAGATCCACTGCTTTTATGATTAAGGCATGGACAACGACATTGTCAAGTAATGCTTATCGAGTTCTGTTCCCACAACAATGGATACCGGTGATTTGAACCGACCAGCCCCACTCAGCACCTCTTCGTCCACAAGCCATTCCTCTCGAAACAGGCCGCGTCAACCTCGCTCTCTGCCCAATGCCGTATTGCAAACAGCTAAAGAACTCAAGGGGAGGGCAAATTGGGAGGTGGATGCTGAAGAGAATCATGAAAGAATCCATTTCGGCCGAATGAAGCATGTTGCTGCTATGGCCAAGCGAGATCGACTGGTCTAATTTTGTGTTAACTTTACAAAACAGCAATGCGACTCCATCAATGTGAATGGAG